TACTTGTCTGAAAAAATGCGAGAATTTATGGGTTCTGAAATGCTTCACACCACAGGTTGGATTTGAATAGAGCGGTCCGACCTACACGCGCTTTGAGGTTGAAACGATATCGCGGTGCTCAGCTACTAAGTGCCCTGCTTTGCCAAAGTATCCGTCAGGTGAAGGTAGAGGACCATGGAATGCCAAAGGTGAGCCCAACTAGACAAAGTTTTTGTTTATCATCAAAATCAAACAAGGAAAAAGTATAAAATAAGGTTTGATTTTTACTTGTATTTGTGCTACAAAAACTAGGGTAGACTTGTGGGTGTATGTGTGTGTGTGTGAATGTGTATGTGTTGCATAACAGCACTCAGCTGATGTGGTATCATGAAATAAGTTCTTATCAGAAGGGAATAAGGAGATAAACATCTCAATCAATTATATCATGTAACAATGATGCAAGTGAATTCTTCATGTTATGTTTGTCTGATGGACTTTTAGACAAGCCATTATATATTTCAAGGTCAGTCACTATCAGCATTAGCTGATAGAGCATGGATACAAAAACCAGGATATTGGGTAAGGATCAATTCCTGAGACAATGACCCATGGTCAAAAAAACGTGCAAATTAATTATAATATAGGATGTTCAAGATTTTAGCTTTGAGCTGTGCATGGCTAGGAAAGGAGTCTGGGGGGCGGAAACACCCATTTCTCTCTATTGCAGGTGTAAGCAGGTGGTGCACTGGGAGGATCCTGAGTTGTCGACAGACACAACTCAAATACTGCCTGGAATCGAGGGCATCCTTTGTCCAACGTGTGGCCTGTGTTGGTAACTTTGGTGTCTGTTTATAAGTTGCCAAACAATAATTCCTTTTCATTCAAAAAGGAAATTTAAATCTGTGAATTTCATACAGAAGATACAAAGTATCGGGTTCCCACAGATATTTTAAACACTAGGCAAAAGATTGGTGGTCAAATATTTATTTTTATTATTTATTGAAGGCTAACAATGAAGCATTTGGCTTAAAAACAATAACGTAAAATCTTTCTTTGAGTACAAGTTCATGTGCCACAGACCCTACTATTCAAATGTTTGCTTTTAAGGTGTAAAATTGGGTCCTAGAATCTCTGAATTAATGATTCTTCGTATAAAATATAAATTGTGCCATTTCAGGTATTGGTCTTAACCACGTTCAGGAATGGATTCCCATAAAAGAGTGCTTGCTGGACTCATCACAGGCAGATGGATGGTGTCTTGTAAGTTTGTTTATAATTGCTCAATCTATTGTGCAAAATGGACTAGGTTTATCAACCCTAACAATATTTCATGAATGGTTTATTTTCTACCAGCCTAGTTTTGAAGGTGACAAGCTTCAGTTTGTTATCTTTATTTTTAATTGATAAGACCTTGTCATTCGTAATGAGCTAAGGCAGCCACAAACATCTCTTGTAATCTTATCTTATTTAGACACAAAGGTGAACTTTAGCCTTTGGACTAGTATTAACTTGTTTCAATTCAAGTAAACAAAAAACCAAACAAAATTTTTCAACAATTACAATATTTTTCTGATTATTACTGTTAAAAAGTATAGTATTTTTAAAAAAATCTTTGTGTATTTATTTTATTTTAACTTTACTAATGCAGGCCGAAGGCTTATGGGACCGTGCGATTCATTGGATTCTCTCCCAGTTCATCTATCGAACTGTTGAGCCACCCAATCTTGAATCAAGAGAAACACTATTTGATGTACCTGACCCAACAGATGTCATTTATCTGCTTTGGATAGGAGGAAAAGCTGCTGGGTTCTGCACTTTGAAACCTACAGGTCCTTACACATTGAGTTCTAAAGTAATGGGTTTTCTAAAGGTGTCATTGTTCACTTGTGAAAAATATTAAATTTTTAATAATCTATTTACAGGTGCCCATTTTGAAAGAACATCAGAAAAATATGCCATGTTTACAATTGACACTATATTTGTCCGCTCTTCATACAGGAGAAGAGGTCATGTCAAAACTCTACTTCTGGCACTATCAGAATCTCATAATGACATAGGCTTCAGCCAGCCTGTATCTGACTCTATGGTGAAAGGTAGTGTGACATATCTCAGATTATTGTAGACCTTATGATTTACATTCCATCCCCCAAATGCTGGATCTAATTTTTTCTTTTTTTTTTTTTTACAGTTCTCTGGAAGTTTTTAACTGAAAATAGAGACCACAGACGTAGATTCTGGGAAATAAGTGGAGCTGGAAATGAGGGCTGCCGTAAACTCCTGTGGTATATTCTTCGTCACAGGTGTAAAAATTGGAGTACCTCTCAAGATAAGACTGCATTCTAAACTAAAGACTGAATGGCTTTATATACTAGGTAATAGAAATTTGATGCCAAAGATAAAATAGAAAGATATTTGTTGTAAATTTTCAAATGTATCTGAATTTTAGGGATGTATTAACAAACCAGCACACCATCTTTTACCCTCCTAGAGATTATTTATTTAAACACAGGAATAACAGAAATAGGTAGTGTTTAGCATAAAAATGTGTATATACAAATATGATAAGTAAAAGTTGCTTTATTTTTTTATATATTTGTATGTCTAAACTTTATTCTCTGGATTGATCTGATCTAGAATACCTACATTGACTGGATTTCCCTCTTGTGTGCAGATCCATGTACTTGGGTGGCCAAGCATTAATTAGGGATATTTTCAGTCTTCAATACATCAAATACTTTTTCTATGCATTTTTCAAAATTGAAGCTAGAGATTGAAAAAATTAAGACTAAGATCAGTTTAATTTATAACCCCAACTTTACTCAACAGCATATCTGCAGTAACAAACATATAACTAGATAATCAGTCAACACCATAGAAAGCAATGGGGGAAGCACTGACAGCTTTTGGAGGCTTAAAATAATTACAGGCATGAGATTCAGATAGAACTGAGCAACAACTATGTAATCCTATAATTTCTTCGTTCCATACCCTAAGAAAGATTTGAAGGCATCACAGTTCTTTTATCTTAAAATCAACAGATTTCTAAAATTTATTTTGTAGGGGAGTAACAGATACATTAATAATAGTAAAAATAATTAACATTTGATTCATATGTGTTTTAAGAATTATTCTTCAAATCTCAGTCTGACAAATTAGCAATACCCCAATCACTTTATTGGCGCAAAACACTCTTGATTTCATTACAAAGCATAGAACCAATGACCATTTTTTCACAATTTACACACAAGTTCAACATTTGATCACTGACTTTCACTGTGATTAAAACAAGTGATTGTGAAGCAAGTGTCTGAGCAGCAAATCTGAAATTGTAACAAAATATATGAAACCTTGGGAAATGCCTTCATTGCACAAATTTTGAATAGAATGTGTATTTGAAAATTACCTCAGAATCTTTGAATCAGAGGAGGGAATAGATGATACATTTGCAGCTTCATATACCCTCTGAGTGATAACTCTTGGGTCTGCTGAAGTAGTAGAGGGTTTAAGTTCTACACTATGCTCGTTCATTCCGCGTAACTTTCCTAGATGTAAAAAAATAGATTGATTGATTGCTAATTGACAGCAAAATAATCAAAAATTAAAATCATTCATAAATCCTACCTTGCTCTGAGAGGAAAAGGAAATCTGGCATGGTTACAGCAGTGAGCAACTCACCAACATTTGCTTTGATTATAATTGAACTCTTACGCTCATCATCACCAGTATTCCATGTTATGTCAAAAGATGCTGGCTGAGTTGTGTCGTTCCAATCAACACCGATTGTTCCAGACAAAGTGGTTCCTGGAGAGAGTGAGCTGACAGGTGCGAACTCATGCACAGAAAGCCCACTGGGCATATTCTGTTATTTAAAGGGGAAAAAAAAAAAAAGAGAATTACATAGGGGAAAAGTGCACACAACCACATGTTAGAAGTTGAAATACTTCTACCTTGGATCCCATCTTAAGATCAGTTATTTCTTCTGTTCCTTGGTTGGAGAAGGTCAATTCAATGGCTGCCATTTTGGAAGAAAAGAGATGTGGCGACCTTGTATATCTATATGTAATCATTAGACCTCTACCAGTTACTTTGTTTAAAAGTTCCTGGCTGCGCAGTGCTACGAAACTTGGACTGGTTGTCTGTAAATGTTAAAGTTGGTGTAACACATAAATCAAATATAATAATAGCAGTGTGGATTAATCACAAATAACTTTATAAATGTGATACCTGGATACCAGATGATGAAGTTGCTGATGATATAAGATTCATTGCTGGTAAGCTAGGTGTAAGGAAACCACCAAGAGAGGGTGTCATCAGAGGTGCTGCTGAGCCGACTGTGTATTTAAAAACAATAATGTTAGGTCAGAGCAGCAAAAATGCTTCAAGAAGCTGTTTGTAATAGAGAAATGTGTCCAGACTTACAGTCATCAAGTTCTAACAATAGGTCAAGATCTGTCTTTTCCTTCTTTTTTACAGCAGAATTTTGTTTCGATGTCTTTGTTTTTTGCGCTACTTCCTTTTTCTTTGCCCCACTGGATGAGTTGCTATCAGTGTCACTCTGACGGCTTTTGCGACCCTTGGATTTGTTTCTTGGTAAATCACTCCCTTCATCACTACTTGAGGAGACTTCTCCACTCTCTGACAATTCTATAGCTTTTTGAACAACGCGTTTGGCAGGAGTAGGTCTAGCAGCTCTCGCAGGTCTTTGCACCTCTTCCTGCAAAGAAATGTCAAAATACTTTGGAATAATGCATAGATTACAAGGTTAGATTTATTGAAAAGCTAGAGCACAACACACAAACCTCAGAACTTGACTCTGCACTTGTGCTGGTGCTATCACTACTACTGCTGCTGGAGCTTTCACTGCTGCTGCTATCAGAATCATCGCTGCTGCTGGAGCTATCACTGCTGCTGTCATCACTATCACTGGAGCTATCATCACTATCACTGGAGTCGTCTTCACTTTCTACAACCAGAGCAAATAGGCAACCAATTAAATAAACAAAATTGGATAGAGCTGGGTAGTCCGATAACCAAATTAGTTTGGATAAACCTAGCTTTAGCAAACAAGTTAATCCCAACTTTAGCTGGGCATCAAACTCTAACTACATATCATTAAACATCAACATTTTAACTGAAAACACTTACCATCAGCAGGAGAGCTATCTGAATTATAGAAGGCATCACCTCTTCTTTTGGCATCCTTTGTTCTTTCAGGCCAGTCAGGAGGAGCAGCTACTCCTCTATTTGATTCGGGAGCTACCTCAGGAAATGCTGGAAGATCATGGTATCCAACAGCACGAGTATTGATGTAATGAGACAACGATCCTAGTTGAAACTGCTCACGATCTAAAAAGCAGGCCAAAAATCACTTTGTAAAAAGTAATATGAATTTTGAACCCAACTCTTGGCCCAATTCTCTTATTAATGCCTAGCCTAGGATAGTGTAGATATAGATATTTGTGTGCTTCCTTCTTGAAAAGATGTCTAGAGGAGAGGCTCTAAATTTACAAGAAAATAACATTCTAAAGGTCAAGTAGTATTTTCACCTTTGAACTGTGATTCTGAAACAGGAGCAGGTTTGGTTGCTAAAAATATTTTTTTAGCACTCTTTGCAAGTTTTGCATTTTCATTTGATGGAAAGACAAATTGTTTCAAAAATCTTGCTCGGTCTCTGATGTCATAACTTGGATCATAACGAGCCAAATTGAGCACATACTGACAAAGAAGCTTCGTCTGTTTAGGATTCACCAAAAATAACTTTACAGCTAAATTCAGAGTTTGAAGTTTTACTTGGTCCTCCTGAAAAATCAAAACAAGTATTTAAAAAATCAGATCAAGTATTCTTACACCTCACTTCCCCTTAAAATAGAAATTTCAATTTTCACCTCATTGATAAAACTTTTAGCCATTTTACGTAGGACATCAGGTGCTATTCGGGGTACTCGATCTGAGTATTCTCCCAATAGCCATAAAATAGATGCACGAGCAGCAGGGACATTGATATTATCAACAAGTCTAGCCATGTGTGTAATAATGTCTTTATGTTCAGCAGGTTGGGTCTGGAGAAGTTTTTTAATGACTACAACACTTTCCCCTACAACGGCCTCTGTAATAGAAAATTAAACAGCTAATTGAAAAGATCCTATTTCAGACCAGCATTCCATCCGCATAGAGAAACTCTTTACCATCTCTGTTTGAAAGTAAAGATACAAGGCCATTTAAACATGTGTCAGTTACTTCTTTGATGTTGGCTGCACACCTGAAAAAATCAATGGTAAAAATGTATGTTAGCTGCTGCATCAAAAAATCACATTAGATTGGAAAATAAATTGATGTACCTTCCAATGGCCTGTATGGTAGCAGTGACAAATTCTTTGTCGTTGCTGCTAATGTAAGTTTGAAATTCCCGTAGAATCACTGAGATACTTGTTTCTGTAGCCAGAGTAGTTAATATTTCTAGCTTTAATAGTTTTATATGAGTAGCATCACTTGTCCTCACAAAAAAGCTTTTCAGGAATGGTTCAAACATACCCTGCAAGGGAAGACTTGATAAAACTTGCACACACACAAGAAGGGAGAAATGATTATAATTTTCTGTATTTCTGTATTGTCCCTTAATGCGAGCTTTTAGCTCATGGGACCAATAAGCTGAGGCAATAAATAAATAAATTTTAAAGCAAGTACCTTTCGCTGAGTGGACATTGATGCAATACAGTTTAGGACAACTGATTGAACCTCTCGATGAGATCTTAACAGACGTATTAAAGCTTTTGCTACAAAAATTACCTCTGACCGTGGGGCAAGGTGATGATACATCTGAGCTACACCCATTACAACCTAAAAGTGAAAAAAGGATTCAGTGTCTCAGCTATTGGAATTGGGAGACTAAAAGATATGGGAGTCTGAGCAACAACTAACAGAGGCATTTCGGCTTTGAAGCAAAGGTCTTGCATTTCGCAGAAGAAGTCGATGGTCTGGATCTAATGAATAAGTCTTTTTAAATTTTTCATCATTTCTACCCTTGTTTTTAGACTGTTTTCCACCATCACTATCTGAGAAATTATCGTTATCATCAGTGCAGTTATCTTCATTTTGATGGTCTTCATCCTGCAATAGGAATGTTGTTTTACTATACCGTCAAAACAAATTTAGAACTGATATCAAAGCAATAGTTAAAAAGCCTACCTCTGCATTAGGATCAGTGAATTGGGTCCGCGCATATCGAGTAAGCATGTTAATGATCACCACTTGACCCCATTCATCAACATCAACGAGCAGATCACAGAGCTTACGATAATTTTTGTGAATAAGATCAATGCGCTCAGGACACACCTGCAGAATTAAAAAAAATACAAGTTTTCCAAAATTGAGCGAGTACCCCTCATGCTGGCAAGATCTACATTTTTACACAAACCTCTTCAAAAGCCATAACCGCTGAACCAACAACTAGAGTTGTTCTGTCTGACAGAAGCTTTTCAATGACATGTACAAGTTCTTCCTTTTGCTCTGGGTCCAAACTGAATAGAAACAAGAATAAAGGTCAATGAAGAGTCAAAAGAGAATACCACAGGAAAAAAAGTTGACACTCACCTGTAGAGTTTAGGAATTGCATGGGCAGCTGTCTTCCGGACATATGCTGACATGTCAGAGGCAGAATCTTTTATGGCAAGCATTACTATGGGTACAATCATAGTAACTCGGATACTAGACAAGACACGCAAAGCACTTGCACGGATTAACTGATTAGGATCCTGAAATTCAATAAGAGAATTTTTTAAAATAGTAAGAAAATGAAATACTTTGTAGATTTCAGAAACGGAGGAGTATACCTTAAGAGCTCTCTGGAATGTAGATATAGATAGAAGAGCAAGATCCTGTTGCTCTTCTGCGTATCTTACTAGATATACATACACCAGCTTCTTCACTTCAATATTCTTGGATACAACATTTTTCACTACAGCAGGAAACAAATCTGATGCATCACGTCCTTTTGCAACCATCTGCAGTCATTCAAACATAGTAGTACAACAAACCTAAACAGAACTAGGTAGTGAGGATTCAAATATTTTTTGTACAAACCCCTATTATTCTCTTCATGGCCTCAAGCTTTAATCCATCTTTGCTGCTGTCCAGCATCAGCTTCAAGTCATCATGCCTGAAAGAGAAATGAAAGAATTATCATTTTCATCACTTCAATTGCCAAGTTGATAGGGGAAAGTAATACGCACTTCTTGTAATCTGAATGGAAGAATCCACCAGATGCAGGATCAGTAGCCAATTCGGCTTCCACTCCAGAGGCAGGGCGGTCATTATTATATGACCCATTGTTCGACATATTTCACTTTAACTGAAAGAAACATTAATTAGACTATCAAAATAATTATGCGAGTGTAGACTGAGTTAGGTCAATTGGTCACAAGTCATCTATTGAAAGGTGATAAGAGATTTGTATAGAGATTACAGGTTAGATAATCAAATATTATTAGGATAAATCAATGTTTGGCCGTTGATAATGAAGATTTTAAAAATGTTTCTTGTTAGAAACACAAATAACAAGATATAAAGATCTTTGTAAGAACTAAAGAGTGGAATAACACGAAATTTGATGACACATCTGCCTGACACAGTTATGTGAAAACCGAGAAAGGTGATTTAAACGACAACTTACTTGTACCTCTCAACTTTTCAAAAAATAAGTAAAAAAATTTAATACAGCAAACGTGAACGGACAAAGTACAATTCTATAACCTCTTCTGTGACATAACAAAACCACCTACTTTAGCTTTTCCGGCAACGACAACACAACACACAGCGTTCAATTAGAGTGTGTGTGCGCCGTCACTGCCTTGAAGAAACTTCACTATTTGGTCCAGTCGTAAGAACCTTGAAAACTTTTTGGCCGGGATTTACTGAACGTACTCCCGAGCTTCGTCCGATCGCCACGCAGCACCTCCAGGGGCGCCACTTTCGCCTGTTCCCTCCTTGTCGCTCCGTTCCGCAGGCGCCAAAGTAGAGAGAGAGAAAGACGGCCTAGCCTGGCGCTTGGAGTCTTTGGCCTCGAGGCAGCGGAGGAGCCCGCAACCAACCGTCCTCTCTGCGAAGCCACAACGAAGATGGCGTCCGCTACGACACAGTTCCCACCCTTATCGTACTCGTCGTCCCGCACTGCAGAGCGAGAGGTAAGTGGACGCCCCCACCCCCGCGCCCCGCGCGCCACCCTGCCCAGGGAAGGCCCGCACCCCGGCCCTGTACTTGCCCCCGACGGGCGCGCGGCGTGGCTCCGCGCCCGAGAGTGACCTCGCAGCCGCCCTAACCTCTCCGCGCGATCAAAACATTGCAGGGGGGCGCCGGCGCCAACCCCTCCGCGAGGACGGGGCCGTTGACACCGCCGCCGCTGCCTGCCGCTGCGTGCCGCGGCGCGCGGTCGGGGATGTCCGCGAGGTGGTGGCGGGCCGCCGGGCGGCTCCTGCTGCCCCCCAGGGCGCCAGCCGCGGGCCGCGGCCCCGCCCCTGCGGCTACTCCCTGCCCTTTTGTTTACCTTTTGACAGCCTGTGTACTTAACGCCGGACAGGACGCGGCGACACGGCCGTCAGGCCCGCCGTGTCCACAGCGCGGCTGAAGTCTGGGTTCGATGACTCGCTTATTCGCGACCCTTGCGACCGCGCCGCTCTGCAACGCACGACGGACTTGTGAGCAACACGATCAAGTCATCGTCGTTTGACACACTCGATTCGATTAAGCAAAGTATCCAGCGCGATAGTATGTTTGTTTTCATTACTTCCCCGACGTCTTGCTGCAAGTATAACGCGTGCTTGCTCTCCTCCCACTACTGACTCGCACAACCAGTGTTAACCGGCCGTGCCAGGTCAATTGGTCGAATTGATTGTGCATAAGATCAAACAACGATCCCGTGCGGGACTCAAGTCCTTGGCCTCAGGCTACATGCTACATCGCGGCCCCTAGCTCACTCAGGGGCTTAACGTGACGTGACAGGTGTGACTTATTGTGAGGACGGCGCGCGGCTGAACCCTTTTTGCGTGTGCCTCAAGCCTTTAACCTTGCGCATTACGCTGAACGCCGCTCTTCCTTTGAACCTTAGCCAACCGCCCAGCGGGTAGGCAATTTGTGCCACAATCCGCGTGAATGTGGACAAACAGCGCGATTCGGCCGCAGCTCCCGCAGTGCCTTGCCGCGTTGTGTGATTGGTGATGCTCAACTCGAAATGAAAAAAAAAAAGGAAATATTATTCTTCCTTCTTTTTCTCTGTATAGCGCTGCGCTGCCGCGATGCTGGCGCATTGGCTGCCGCGGTTGACACGGTAGATTTGCCCCGAGCGAGGCCACTAGCCAGGCCAGACCGTGACAGGTGAACCGACCCGCCCGAATGTTTGTGTCCATACCCCTATAGGGGCGCCCAGCCGGCCCGCCACTCCCCGCCACGCCTCATGCCTCAAAGGGCAGCGCAGACAAGCCCACTGCCCCGGCCTGACCTGCTTGGCGTGCTCGGCGCAGCCAGTTTGGTGATAAACTCGGCTTTATGTATAGTCTGTCTGTTTGACGGAAGTTTCCTCGCACATCATTTACGTCACTCCCGGCATGCACCGTGGGAACGCTATTTCTGTCGGGGGAATTGCGCGGTGCGGTACCGCCGCCAGCCCCGCCCGACCCCTGACCCCGCGGCGCGGTCCTGGAGCCTAGCGGAGCCTAGCGGAGCCAGGCGCACACGGCACAGCCGAGCAGGCCCGTGACCGTGACCCCCTACCAGGCTGCCGAACGCATTGTGGTCGATCCCTCCCCGTCCCATCCAGGGGTATCGCGCGGTTCAGGATTCGGAGGATCGGCGGGTTCGAGTGCGCCAGTCCATCCGTTGTGTCCTCGGGGCAGCCTACGGCCCCTACGGCAGCCTCCCCCGCGCCGCGCGGCCGCGTCCCGCCCAGGCGCACACGTTGGGCTGCCTACGCGCCGGGCGGAGAGCTGGCCGGGGCCGGGGCCGGGTCCAGCAGCGCAGCGCGCGCGGCCGCGCCAGCCGTGCTGCAAGCAGCTCATGAGCAGCTGCACGCGGGGCGTGGGCGGCGGGCGGTATGCGGGTGTTGTTGCGGATATTGCGGAATACGGGGGCCGGGGCAAGGTGACCGGAGAAAGAGTCAGGAGCAGCCACTACTACTGGTAGCGTGGCGGCGGCGGGGAAAACCTCTGTGCGCGAGCGAGCGAAGTGGACCCGAGCACCAGCGCATCCTGACCGCGCCGATCAGAGGTCGGAGGTCGGCGCGAGGTGACTCCAGGTCTGCAGGTGACCGCGTGGCGTCGCTCTCCTCAAAGTATACTTCGTGGCGCAGCCGCGTCGGTTTTGTGCGTGGCGGTGTACACCTTCCCAGCAGTGTATTGGCAAGCACGCATTGACGTCAGAGGGACCGGGCCGGGTTGCGCCTGGGCTCACAGCTCGGCGCTCAGGCAGGCGGGCCGCGCCGGGCTACTCTGCCCTCCAGCTACAAGGACCCCGGCCGAGCGACTGGCAGCGAGTGAGGAGTGATCACCATGTGGACACGCTCTGATAAGCACACTGCTGGTGCCTCCAGACAAAAGGACCCTGGTAGGTGGAGTGACTAGCGAAGAAGGAGTGATTAGCGAGTGAGGAGTGACGTGGACTCGCCATGTGGACACGCTGATGATCACGCCGAGGACGCCTCCAGGCACGAGGACCCCGGCGGAGCGACTGGCGAGTGAGGAGTGATGTGGACTCGCCATGTGGACACGCTGATAAGCACTCCGCGGACGCCCACCATCATTGGCTGATACTATCGGCCGTGCGGGCCACACCTCTGTCTGCCCGGCCCGCTCCTCCGCAACACCACGGCGTGCTTGTCTGCGTACATCGCTCGTCTTTTTATTTTTATCGTTTCTTATTTCCTTTTCTCGTTTTCACCGCAAACGAAGACTGGTACGTGTGTTCTTTTTTGCGGCGGTTGCGCGCACAACACGTTTGCAGAGCTCCAACACAGCCTGGTGTGTGTGGCGCGGGCCCCATCTTCGCGGCGTGCCGTCGGCGGCCCGCCCGGCCCCGGTCAAGGCTATGAGGCCCTTTATCTACCATGGTGAACGCGTAACTCGCCGAATCACTTCCTGATGCGGCGTTGTAGACAGGCAGCCCAGGCAGCCCAGCGTGATGGATATTAGTTTTGGACGCGTGCGACAACACCACGAGTCGCCTGCTGTGCATGCGGGGGCTCCTCCTCGCCTGGGTAGAAATTGAAAAAGCTGTAAAGTAATCATCCCATGTGCTGATTACAGGTCGTCTAAAAAGTACGTCCGTTTTGCTCGGGTTCGTCAGACGGGAGCTCGAGACGCCTGTGAGACTCGGGGTAGGCAACCCCACAGTACACGCATGCACTGCAGGCACGATTTTGCCTACCTCTCAGGTGCTACGAGGGCTTGCACAGACAGAACTTTTCGCATTTTCGCAACGGCGAATGACGGACGTGCTTTCTGGACGATCCCTTAGATTTTCTTGTCGAGCGGAGTGCGGCTGAGAGGTGAGCGGTTACTTATGATTCAAGTGGGTGCGCTCACCGTGACGGTGCGTGGCTGGCCGCAGAACTGATTAAGCTTAGCTCCGCAGTAGCGTCTCCAGCGCCCCCTCCACTCCACCTTGTTCAGGCTTTTTGTATTTTTTATTTCTCTCTCTCCGCATTGGTTCTCCGTCGGAAGCTGGAGCGGTGAGTCGGTTGAGTGGCCGCGGTGCGTGGCTGCTGCTAGTGGGTAACGGCACGCTACAGAAACAGTGCCCACCGGCAAAGTTGTCGGGCCGTCAGATTACTATCCTCTCACAGAGCGGAGCGGATTTGTAGGATTTGCAGACAAAGAAGCATATTAGTGACCGCATCCAAAGATCGCACCTGTAAATTATTAACGTCGCAAGCCCTTTAACTACTCTCGTCAAATTTTGGATCCCACTTCTACCTCTCTCCATCGCCCCTCGTCATACTCTTTTGACCAATCCTGTACTTCCGTTGCGAGCGATTCGGCGGGGCACTCTTTTGTGGCCGAGGTCTCTATTAGCCGTAGCACTTGAAGACGACGCCGAAGTCTTGAAGTCCGTCCATGACCTAATCAAGTATAATCAAGTGAGGGAAGCCTGGCACTGGACGCGCGCGGCCCACAGCGTCGAAGGGGGTGGAGGGAAGGAGAGGGTGGTAGTGGCTTAAGCGTGTGCCCTGCACCGCGGCCTGGCAAAGGGTCAAGTCGCGACGAAAGTGTACCGACTGTCTCCCCCTCTCTCCCGTCCCGCGGCCGCTCTCGCTCTCCGAGCTGCGCCGGGCTGTTGCTGCTGGGGCAGAACCTAACCGAACGGAACGGTGCGGAGCGGAGGTCATGTTTGACGTCACTCCGCTGGTTCTGGAGTGGAGTGGAGTGTGGCTCTGAGAGCGCGCGGCGTTCTGTGCTCGGGCAGCTCCGCGGCTGAGCCGAAGTGCTGAGCCACGATGCTGAGCGAGAGAGCTGACCCACCGTCGTGCTAATGCGCTCAGCAGCCATGAGGGGATGGCACCACACTCGCGGGGGTCGACGTGGCCCTGGGTCCCTAGCAGCCGCGGCACTGAACTCGCCACGCTGACAGTCGCTGCCAGTCGCCCACGGCCTGCCGATATGCGACATTATGTCCTATCGCCGGCCCTCGTTGGCAAAAACTAATTTTACTTTTAATTGGCTCTGCAATATCTTCTTTTTTGTTTTTCGATCGAGATAGAATTGGAGGTGGTGAATGGTGACCTCTTGCCCCACGCTAAATGATACGGCGTGCTCAATCAGAGAAAGCCCACCGAATTTATCTCTTGACAGGCGATGTTTGGACGTTTGTTTAGTTTTTAGTATTGGAAGGTCCCACTACGTGTGTGAAAGTCACATGATTCTTTTTATTATCGGCGCTGCCATCGAGTCGGACAGGCAGCGTTGGCTTGTTTTAAAAAATTACTTTTACACAAGGGGAAGTAGACTTTTGTAGGTGCGGTCGGGGCGGTCTGCTTTATCGGGCCGGGCAAAGTTCGCAGCCGTAGCATTCGCACAACTGTCGACCCTTTCGCAGCGTCCACCCTCCCACTCCCACACTCCGCTGGTTCCGATATACTTCGTAAAATGACACGCCAGCTCAGCAATTTGGTGTTGGTAACTTCTAAAAGCCGATGCCTCGT